ACCATGCAAGGTAAGAGATTACATTGAAGACACCCAGCCAGTGTACATTTCAGACACATTTATCATGCCTTCACATTGACTTTGTAGAAATGAATAAAAGCAAAAAAACAGATCTCACACTGACCTTAACCACTTAACCCCCAGGCCCAATTTGGATGTTTCCTTCCTACATGCAAAAATCTAAATTTTTTTTTTTTGCTAGAAAATTACTTAAAACCCCAAACACTATATATTGGATATAAAGAGTCTGCAAACCCCTGTTAAAATGTTAGGTTTCTGTGATGTAAAAAAATGAGACAAAGATCAATTATTGCAGAACTTTTTCCACCTATAATCTATTTATTTATTTATTTCAGGTACTTATATAGCGCCATCAATTTACGCAGCACTTTACATATATATTGTACATTCACATCAGTCCCTAACCCTCAAGGGGTGTACAATCTAAGGTCCCTAACCCTCAAGGGGAGTACAATCTAAGGTCCCTAACCCTCAAGGGGTGTACAATCTAAGGTCCCTAACCCTCAAGGGGCGTACAATCTAAGGTCCCTAACCCTCAAGGGGCGTACAATCTAAGGTCCCTAACCCTCAAGGGGCGTACAATCTAAGGTCCCTAACCCTCAAGGGGCGTACAATCTAAGGTCCCTAACCCTCAAGTGGCGTACAATCTAAGGTCCCTAACCCTCAAGGGGAGTACAATCTAAGGTCCCTAACCCTCAAGGGGAGTACAATCTAAGGTCCCTAACCCTCAAGGGGCGTACAATCTAAGGTCCCTAACCCTCAAGGGGCGTACAATCTAAGGTCCCTAACCCTCAAGGGGCGTACAATCTAAGGTCCCTAACCCTCAAGGGGCGTACAATCTAAGGTCCCTAACCCTCAAGGGGCGTACAATCTAAGGTCCCTAACCCTCAAGGGGCGTACAATCTAAGGTCCCTAACCCTCAAGGGGCGTACAATCTAAGGTCCCTAACCCTCAAGGGGCGTACAATCTAAGGTCCCTAACCCTCAAGGGGCGTACAATCTAAGGTCCCTAACCCTCAAGGGGCGTACAATCTAAGGTCCCTAACTCACATTCATACATACACATACTAGGGACAATTTAGACAGGAGCCAATTAACAAACCAGCATGCCTTTGAAGTGTGGGAGGAAACTGGAGTACCTGGAGGAAACCCACGCAGGCACAGGGAGAGCATGCAAACTCTAGGCAGGTGGTGCCATGGTTGGGATTTGAACCAATGACCCTGGTACTGCCAGGTGGAAGTGCTAACCATTTAGCCACTGTGCTGCCCGTCCTTGTATACTTGTATTCCAAAATCCATCTATATCGGCAGCGATGGATATGAACAAAGTGAGCGCAGGATATTGTGATCTATAAACCGTAAAACTCAATTGAAACACAAACTGAAATCTTTTTAGGGGGGGGGAGGAAATATTAAAAACTAAAATAGTGTGGTTGCATAAGTGTGCACGTCCCTCTTATAACTGGGGATGTAGCTGTGTTCAGAATTAAGCAATCACATTCAAAATCATGTTAAATAGGAGTCAGTACACACCCGCCATCATTTACAGTGCCTCTGATTAACCCCAAATAAAGTTCAGCTGTTCTAGTAGGTCTTTCCTGACATTTTCTTAGTCACATCTTACAGCAAAAGCCATGGCCTGCAGAGAGCTTCCAAAGAATCAGCGGGATCTCGTTAAATTTTATCAGTCAGGAGAAGGGTACAAAAGAATTTCCAAGGCATTAGATAGACCATTTCAACAGGGGTGTGTAGACTTTTTATATCCACTGTATATATTTTTTAAGCAGAGGCCCTAGAGAAAAAAAAGGGTGAGTGTTGAAACTGTTTATGTCACATGGTATTTGCACCATGGTTTTGCAAACACAATAAAAAAAAAATACACTTTAATAAACCACAATATAATACCCAAGTCTTTGATAATATATAAAAAGATGTTACGCTAAGTAAATAGATACCTAAAACGCTTTAAAATTGCACACACTGGTGACAAACTACAGTATTTAAAAATCTCCATAGACGACACTTTAAAATTCTTAAGACCTTAAGAGAGCGATTCACACCAGACATCCCAAGAATATTGCTACACTGAAACAGTTTTGTGAAGAGAAGTGGTCCAAAATGACTCCAGATTGTTGTGCAGGTCTGATCTGCAACTACAGGAAACGTTTGGTTGAGGTTATTGCTGCCAAAGGAGGGCCAACCAGTTATTAAGTCCAAAGGTTCACATACTTTTTCCTCCCTGCACTGTGAATGTTTACATGTTATGTGCAATTAAACCATGGCAACATCTAATGTTTGTGTAGTATTATGTTCAGCAGACTGTGTTCTTCTATTGTTGTGACTTAGATGACGTTCAGAGCACATTTTATGCCCAATTCATGCAAAACTCCACGTAATCCCAAGGGGTTCACATACTTTTTCTTGCAACTGTACATGAGCCCCTAAAAAGTCTGACCCTTTCTGAAAAAACGCACCGGGTGAAAACGCGGAGATGTGAACCTGTCCCATAGAAAATCACGTTAAATGGACTGCTATGCGTTTCTGCAAAACGCAGCGGAAAACACATAGGTAGGAACCCAGACTTAAGCCTCCTGCACACGTTTTTGCAGCCACTTTTAGGGGCGTCAGGCTTTTTTTTTTTTTTTTTTTTACTGCTTCCAAACAGCCCTCCATGTAATCCCATGTCTCCATGCACACATAGAGGTGTAGAAGCTTTACCAGCAGGAGAAAAAAAACCCAGGGCCAGTGCGTCCAGGAGCAGCAACGTTTTGCCAGAAAAAAATGCTTGACATAGTAAACGCGCCTAAACGTGTCTAAACGCTAGGCGCGTTTAGTGTTTGAGTGTTAATTCATTTTAATAGCCAGAAAAAATGATCATTCTGGCCAATGAAATGAAATAACACTCATGTGCTTGACGCTTCTAAGCGCGCCAAAACGCTTGTATGTAAAAGTGTTAGATATTTTAGAAGCATCTGGTATTTTTTCTGCACAAATGCTGCTGCCAGGAGGACAGCTTCTAGGAAAGTTTGGTTTAGCGTCCTATGTGCGTGAGGCCAGAGCCCCAGTTCACATATATGAGGCCATGCGGGCCGTGTTTTGCGCAGGCACGAGAGCCCATTCATTTGAATGGACTCCCATGCCCGTGACATGCAGGAAAGAAGTCCCTACACTTCTTTGGAAAATGCAGCCGAGGTTCCCAGTACGGTTGCGTTTTCCAGTGCGGGCGGCATGCCATTAGAACTAATGGTACCCCACGGGTCCGCAATTCTCTGTGCGGGTGGTGCGGCTGCACCGATTTTCGTGCGGATCCACAGCGGCACCACCCGCACAGATGTGAACCTAGGGTTAATGTCACACAAAGCCATTTGACTTTTCAACTGTGACCACCTGTGGTCCTTTTTATTAGCTCAGTATGAAAAGAGCTTTCCTGGAGCATTACAGTCCCTGATAGCGCAACTAGGTCCGCAATTCTCTGTGCGGGTGGTGCGGCTGCACGGATTTTCGTGCGGATCTGCAGCGGCACCACCCGCACAGATGAGAACCAAGCCTAATAGGTTACCAGTTCTGAGTTACACAGGAGGTCTGGCGCTAGAATTTTTGCTCTCGCTATAATGTTCACAGCGATACCTCATGTGTGGTGCGAACGCCATTCACATATGTGTGTGGGACCTACATATGCTTTTGCACACAAGCGGGTGGGAGTGCTGAAAAATCTTTTTTATTTTTTTTATTTCATTTATTTATTTTATTACACTGTCTCTTTAACCACTTCAAGTCTGGACCCTTTTACCCCCTTCCTGCCCCCAGGCCAATTTTCAGCTTTCAGCGCTGTCACACTTGAATGACAAATGCGCGGTCATGCAACACTGTACCCATATGAATTTTTTAGCAATTTTTGAGACAGATAAAACAATATTTTGGTGTTATTTGTTCACCACTGGGATTTTTTTTTTTTTTTTGCCATATAAATGAAAAAGTCCAAAAATTTAGAAAAAAAGTGCTTTTTTTTATAAAATTTTGCAAATAAATAATCTTTCTTCATAAATCTTGGCCACAATTTATTTTATATTTTTAGTAAAAAAAACCCCAAATTTTCAAAAAATGTTTTTACATTTTTATATTTTTTTTATATTATTTATGTTTTTGTTGGGTTTTTTTTTACATACTGTCACCCTAGTAGTGCAGTGTCACCATAGTGGGGGGGTAATGAAGATTTTTTTTTTTTTATTACACTGATTGCTTTTACACCCCATAAAGGCTGTAAAAGAAATCATTTCTCCTTCTCTCTGGCTGCATTCTTGCAACAATTGAGAAATACTGTGAGAGCTGTGATTGGTCGCAGCTTGCCACATGGAACAAGGCTGTTGTGAATAGCCCTGTACCATGTGACCTCTGTGATCATTCACAGATTTCACAAGTAGTAAGCAATGATGTCAGAAGTGACATTTTGCTTACTACTCTTCATGTGATCACTGATTGGCCAATCAGTGATCACATGATCAGGACCTTGCACAGAGGACACAGCGAGCACCCGATCGCAGTGCAGCGCACTCCCAGGAAGCGCACACAAGCATGGGGCGGGGAGGCCATTTATAAATGGCCACCCGCCCCTGCACTGCTCCCATCTGGCCGTTTATATACATGGGCCAAATGGGAAGGGGTTAAAAAACGCTTCTAAACAAAAAAGCGCATAAACGTGGTATGCAAACGCGGCTAAACTGACTTTTTTTAACCTACATTTTCTAGCAGTCAGTTTCCATTGTTCAGCAGAGTTTTCCAAATGTCCCGTGTACATGAGCCTTTAGCAGATCTGATAATACTGTTCGAGGTTTCAGCACAGAAAGCAGATTGCACAGGAAGTGGAAGGGGGTGGGAGGGGAATGTCAGACCTCTGTAGAGAGCCCACTAATTGCACACAGGGATCAAGGGTCCAATTTGCAGAAATGTAGTGTGTTTTACTTGTTTAAACTGAAAGTCCGGTTGGTGTTTACCCCCCCCTGGCGGTATTCCTGAGTGGAGCTCGGGGTTAACTTTCAACACCACAAGCGGTAACCCCGAGATACACTCGGGAATACACTGCAGCGTTGCTCCGGGATCCCTTCTTCACTTACCTTGTCCTGCGCTCCCGTGATGTCCCCCCTGCAGCGTCCCCGGCAATGTCCTCTGGCCGATGCCGGCATCTGTCTTCCGTGTTCCGTTCCCTGCGAGCGTCAGGACGTACGGAACGTGCGGGGGATGGAACGGCGGGAAATTCAAAAATATTAAAAAGTGACATTCACCAAATATACTAAAATCACATAATATAACATTCCTGTATCAAACCATTTCACATACATTTTGTCCCGAGTGCTTTGTCCGGCGCCCTGCCTGCATTTTTACTGTTCTCTCTCTGCCTGGAAACTGAGAAACGTCCATGGCGTCCAAAAAGCGTCCCTTTAGGTCAGACGCGGTTTTAGACCGGCTAGAGAACAGCGATAGTAAATCAGAACCACTTGCAGAATTGAGTGATAATGATTCGTGGGAGAAATTCCTCATCAGACACTGAAAACGATTCTGCGACTTTGCTCAGCGATGTGCGAACTTGGCGCTCTATTTCACATTTCAGTGTTTTTAGTTTGATTATATTATTGAATTTAATTTATTATTATATTATTATTTTTTATGATTATTTATTATATTATAATTTATGATTTCGTGTTTCAAATTTTATCATCCCCGGGATGTTTACCAGACTTGGACAGATTTCAGTGAGTTATTCCTAAGAATTACAGGCCTACAATAAAAAAAAACAACATATTTCCATGCAAAAAAATGTACCGCTTTGAGCACAGAAATACTGACCTAATCAGACCGCTAGGGAGTTTAAGTCTACTTGTAAAGAAATGTAACTTTTTCACAAGGAAGCATTTATTTTGTGCTGTCAAACCCCAATGATATCACAAGAACCAGCACAAAATGCAAAAAAATATAATTGAATTGGTACCTTTAGAGCTGCCTTCATTACTACATTTGTGACAGTTTGCTGTCTTGTTTTTTTATAAAATGGTGAGAGGAACCGGACACTGGTCACAGAATTTCTCCTCCTGGGCCTTGGAGACCTCAAGAACTTCAGGATTTTACTCTTTATTGTCTTTCTTATCATTCACATTTTGGGCCTATCCAGCAATATCCTTGTCATTGTTTTGGTGGCAGTCAGTCACAGTCTTCACTCTCCCATGTACTTCTTTCTCAGCCAGTTGTCCTTGTGTGAGATCTTCTTTCACCAGTGATATTGTGCCCATCATATTATGGTTAACACTGACTGGTACTGGGAAAATACCTGTTTCCAGATGTATTTCTCATTTCTTTCTACTTTCAGTCCCGACCATCTCTCAATGCTTGCTGCTGGCCTCCATGTCCTTTGATAGATATGTGGCCATCTGCAGACCTTTACATTACAGCATCATCATGACATTTCAACATCAACTTCAGTTTGTCATCTTCTGCTGGCTGGTGGGATTAGTGCTTTCCATTGTGCTTTACATTTTCTTAAATAAATTATATTTTTGTGACCTTAATACCATTAATCACTTTTCTTGTGACATTCCAGAACTTATTCACTTATCGTGTTCTGATACATCCGTTATAAGTTTGGTTACAGCTGTGATTTCCTTTCCTGTCCTTCTTTTTCCATTACTGTTCATCATAACAACCTACATCTTCATTCTGAGAGCAATCCTGAAGATCCCATCTACCATTGGCAAGCAGAAAGCCTTCTCCACGTGTAGCTCCCACATTATGGTTGTAATTATATACTATGGCACTTTGTGTTCAGTGTATCTGTTCCCATCTAGAGAGAACTCTGTAAACATTGACAAGTGCATGGCTTTGCTTTACACCTTGGTGACTCCATTGTTCAACCCTCTGGTCTACAGCTTGAGGAACCAGGAGATAAGAGCTGCAATTCTCAAGTATATTAAAATGCTTAGCTTACAAAAAAACTGCCGGCTTTCACTTTAAAGCAAGCTTTTGTTGCAATTAGGGATGAGCAAACCAGGCAAAATCCGCCCCTGGGCACAATGGAATGGAAATTGTCCTCATAGATGTATCCGTGATGGAAAACAGTGGCATAAGGTCCCATGCTATCTTTCTGCTGCTACCCATATAAGATGGCCATCCAGGGGGGCTCCAGATGGTTACCTTTCCCTCTGTAAATGTGGACATCATAAATGTACCCTGTGGACGTTTCACAAAGTTTATTTACTGAAACGTCAATACCTGGCATGATTACTGAGGAGACACCGTTTGATGCAGTTTACCCATGAAATGTATGAGGGACTCATCAATCCAGATATTTTTGTGGTGGGTATAAATGTTAGGAAATTTTTGGGAGAAAAAATTGATAAGTGGCCTAATTTTATCATATTTGGGGTGACTTCAGGGAGGGCAGAGAATTATCATTGAAATGCAAAAATATATAATTGGACATACAGGTGTGCTCAAAAGTTTGCAAAACTTGGAGATTTGGTAATATACAGTGTGTACCATTTTTAAGGCCTCCTTCACACCATACGTGCAGAAAAACTGATGGAAACTGATGTGCAGATTTCACTTGCAGAGATATCAGTATTCATGTATGCCTCAATGAGTTTTATACATGTTGCAGATTCCTGTGCAGAAGAATCTACATGTGATACCAGTGTTGTGGTGTGAAAACAATTGGTCCCCTCTCCCTCAAAACCCATCTCTTCAGGGAAGCCTACCCCACCCTCACCTAACGGCCATCCTCCCTCATTCCTCCCACCACTTCATCCCCCTCAGCCACTTCCTACTGTACCTTTTACCCCCTCCCTCCTAGATTGTAAGCTCGTAAGAGTAGGGCCCTCTTACCCCTCGTACATTGTTTGTTGTTGTTGTACTGTGCCATGTTTTGTCCCCCCTATTGTACAGCGCTGAGCAAACCCTTTGGCGCTATATAAACTCGTAGTAATAATAATAAGTTTTGTTGTGCCTTTGCAGAATGCGTGCAGAAAAACTGAAGTCTCTGCACCATGGTGTGAATGAACCCTAAAGAAAACATGAGTGAGCCGGCAAAATACATTTCTTTTATTTAATACCGTCAGATATAGTGTCGTGCTTCACTACCAATTAGAATAATAACATTGTGATCAAATGATTATTAAATAGAAATTAAACAAAAATAAAATAAATAGTCCAGCATAAAATATATATATATATATACAGTGTATTTTGGCCAGGAGATTTGTGAATGATTATTTGCACAACAATTCTGATAAGTACATTTGAAGACTTGACGAATGTTTTTCAAAAGTACTTTAAAGTTTAGTATGATTTTAAAATTTTGTTAAGGGAATGAATTTCAAATCTAACTAAATTTAAAACAAACACATTTACTGATAGAAATGTGTTTGTTCGAGAGAAATTTTCCGTCGTTGAAAACGAACATTGACTTGACCCCACTAACGAGTAGAAAATCTAATGTTATGATAAAAAAATTTTGAATGAAATTCTACTAGTGTATGACCAGCTTTAGCCAGTCTGACCTGCAAATCTTCTGTTCAGCAAAAATGGTTCACGATTCTGGATTTGGTGTGACTTTGAAGGCACAGGCTAGTTGGGGGCCGCTTGAGTCTTACTTTGACTATAGAGGTCTGCTTTAGTTATCCTAATATTGGTATTGGTAATCAAGTATTGAACTTCCAGGTCTCAAAGACACTGATATACCGAAGGGAGGAAAAATGGGAACTATTGTCTATAGCAAAGAGATTTAAATGGCCGCAATACGTAAACTGTAAAATTTTACATATCTCCTTATGTGAATAGGAATTTAGTAACACTCATGGACAAATATTTAAAAGTTTTTTTGATATTATGAGAACTGAAAACACTTAAACTGAAGGTAACGTTCGCTGACTCTTCTCCACCTTCAACTCTCTACTCTCGCCACCCCCACCTCCACCCAGCACCTCACTCACTGCCCTTGAGATTGCCAATCACTTCAAAAACAAGATTGACACAATTCACAAGGACATCGCCGCAACTCACACGCCCTCTCAACCCGTCCCCTCTCACACAGCTACCCCCTCATCCCCCCTCCCCCCTCGACATAACCCGCAGGAACTTTGTCGCTGCTCAAACTCCCTCCAACCCTGTTCCCTCTCACTCAGCTACCCCCTCATCACCCCTCTCCCACCACTGCTCTGACCTCCACTTCCACCCCACCCTACATTCCTCATACTGAAGCCCCCCCAACACTCCGCACCTTTGACCTTACTACCATCGAGGAAGTCTCCAAGATCCTCTCTGATGCCCGCCTCACCACCTGTCCCCCTCGACCCTATCCCCTCACAACTCCTACGACCTCCCTCCCCCTCCATCCTACGCTCCCTCACCCACATGTTCAATCTCTCCCTCTCCTCCGGCACTTTCCCCTCCCCTCTGAAACATGCACACATCACCCCCATACTTAAAAAGCCCTCCCTGGACCCCAATGACCCGAACAACCTCAGACCCATCTCCCTGCTCCCATTTACATCTAAACTCCTCGAGCGCCTAGTCTACACCTGCCTATGCTCTCACCTCAACCACAACAACCTCCTCTATCCCCTACAGTCCGGCTTCCGTCCCCTACACTCCACCGAAACTGCCTTACTAAAACTCTCCAACGACCTGCTAACCGGCAAAGCTAATGGCCACTATTCAGTGCTCCTACTCCTTGACCTTTCTGCGGCCTTCAACACAGTCCACCACCCCCTCCTCCTCAAAAAACTACACTCCCTCGGCCTCAGAGATTCTGCTCTCTCCTGGCTCTCATCCTACCTGTCACAACGCTCTTTCAGCGTTACCTATAATGCTACCACCTCCCCCTCACTCCCCCGCTCTGTTGGGGTCCCTCAAGGCTCCGTCCTCGGGCCCCTTCTCTTCTCCATCTATACCTCCTCCCTTGGCCAACTCATACACTCTCATGGCTTCAACTACCACCTCTATGCCGACGACACACTAATCTATCTCTCAACCCCCCACCTCACCCCCTCGGTCTCTGCCCGAATCACACACCTACTGAGCGACATATCAGATTGGATGTCGCTCCACTTCCTTAAACTGAACCTCTCCAAAACCAACCGAGTTTCTTGTCTTCCCCCCAGCCCGAACCCCACCCCCCATTGACTTCTCCATCACATCCAACAATGCCACCATCAAACCCGCCCCACAGGCCAGAGTACTTGGTGTCATTCTGGACTCCAACCTATCCTTCCAGCCCCAAGTCCAATCTTTAACAAACTTGTGCAGACTTCACCTCCGCAACATCGCCAAAATCTGCACGTTCCTAACCCCAGAAACCACTAAACAGCTCATCCACTCCCTCATCATATCACGACTCGACTACTGCAACTCCCTCGTCACTGGCCTGCCTCGCCACAGGCTATCCCCGCTTCAGTCCATCCTGAATACAGCTGCCAGACTCATTCACCTTTCCAACTGCTCCATTTCCGCCACCCCCCTCTGCTAATCCCTCCACTGGCTCCCGGTTGCGCAACGGATCAAATTCAAAATCCTAACACTGACGTACAAAGCCGTCCACCATACTGCCCCGAACTACATCACTGACCTAATATCCAAGTACCGCCCAGCACGCACACTCCGCTCCTCACAAGACCTCCTTCTCTCTTGTTCCCTGGTCTCCCCCCTCCCATGCCTGCCTCCAGGACTTCTCCAGGGTGTCACCCATCCTCTGGAACTCCCTACCCCAATCCATCAGACTATCACCTACTCTCCTCTCCTTTAGGCTCACCCTGAAAACCCACCTCTTCAGGGAAGCCTACCTCACCCCCTGCTAATTGCTGACCTCCTCCACTCTTCCTACCACCCCATCCCCTACAGCTATCTCCTCCTGTGCCACCACCCCCTCCCTCCTAGATTGTAAGCTCGAAAGAGCAGGGCCCTCAATCCCCTCATGTTTTGCATTGTATTGGTATTGTTCTGTCACATGTTCTGTCCCCCTTTGTAAAGTACAACGCTGAGCGAACTATTGGCGCTTTATAAATACTGTATAATAATAATAATAATAATTATATATATATATATTTACTATCACTGCAATTATATTACTGCTGCCAAACTGTCCTTATTAAATTCGTGACTTTGGAACTTTTGTGATACGAAATAATAACTGCAATCCACCAATCATAAAAAATCACCTCTGTGCTCTCACCTGGTGTATATGACCAAACCGTTAAGTGAGGTCATACAAAGCGAGTGTCCCTTTAATTGGACTTATTGGTAAATGGATAAGATTATCCCTCTTTTCTTGAGATGGATGGATGGATGGATAGACGAAGTGTTCCCTTTTTCTAGAAGGGGGTCCCCTCGCTTCCTTATGGACTTTCCTGGAGCCGAATGAATGGACAGAAATATCCCTCTTCCCACTAGGGGGTCTCCTTGCTTCCTTAAGGATTTCTCTCCATAGATGTAATAGCCATGAATGTGATAAAAAATATATAGTGCCTTATCCTCTTTAAAATTAATTTATTA